AGTTGACGTCTGCTTCTTACATGACACGTGATCGTTGCCGGGGCCATGGCCAATGGACGGTCTTCCCGCCGCGGGCATAATCAGGCCATCAGGACCGTTTGACGTCATTTCGGGAGTTTCAGGACCGTTTGACGTCATTTCGGGAATGTTCGGACGGTTTGACGTCATTTCGGGAAAATTTTTTCGACCTTTCGACCTTTGACCTTCCCTAATATGTTGCTTCGCGATGTAAGAAATCAAATCAAGCACGCTCTGTCTGTCATGATGGCTGAATCTTGTCCTTGCCTGCAGCCCTCGGGCCTACGGCCCTTGGGCTGCATGCTCGGGCAAGATTCAGCCATCATGACCGCCTCGGCTCCTGTGCATCATGTATGGTTCCCGCGGAGAAAATCCCCCCGGTATGTGTAGGGCTCCCTGGTCTGGCGTAGATCTACGATTGTTACATGACACGTGATCGTTGCCGGGCCACGGTCTTCCCGCCGCGGGCATAGGCCATCAGGACCGTTTGACGTCATTTCAAGAGTTTCAGGACCGTTTGTTGTCATTTCGGGAATGTTCGGACCGTTTGACGTCATGTCGGGAATTATTTTTCGACCTTTCGACCTTTCGACCTTTGACCTTCCCTAATATGTTGCTTCGCGATGTAAGAAATCAAATCAAGCACGCTCTGTCTGTCATGATGCTCCAGATCATCAGCTCCATTTCTTGTCTGATCTAACGGCAAGCTACAGTCTTCACGTTCATCAGCGGACACGGTTTGCATCTAATTCCACAGCCACCACATTGGATCTGTTCTTCAATACGTTTGACCAGCACAATGTGGCAACGATCCATCCCGTGGCTTTCAGCGACCATGCAGCGGTCATAAGTGAATTCTACCTTGACCCGACAAGGAGTCCCGAGACATAAATTTTGTGCCGGAACTACCGAAGGATAAATCATGAACGCTTCAAAGCTGACTTGATTCAGCAGAATATTTGCAGCATCGAAGGCAGCCCAACAGACATGTGGACGGAGTGGAATAATCGCTTCCTGCAGGTGCTTGACACTCATGCCCCTCTTAGATCTTGTAAGCAGCACAAGCTACAATCGGTACCGTGGATGGACAGCCAGCTCTTGCACCTTTTGAGTAAGCGCAACCGGCTTCATAGAAAGTGGCTGTCAGACAGATCTGAGCAAAGGTACGCCACATTCAAAGCGGCGAGAAGGGAGACCACTACCTGTAACCGGAAGCGGAAAGAAGCGTACTACAGTACAACATTTCAGCTTGCCACTTGTGATGTAAAACAAACCTTGCGAATCATCAACCAGTTGACGGGGAAACAAATAAAATCGGCACGGCTTCAGTGCTCAGCTGAGGCAATTCGAAGTGCTTTCGCCAAGATCGTGGAAGATCTCAGCCGCCCAGTTCATCTTCACCTACCCCAAGGGCCACGAACGGCAACTAGTTTTGTGGAATTTGTTCCTGTATCTATTGCAAAAGTCCGGAAGCTTCTAGAGCAACAGAATCCGACGAAGGCAACTGGCAGTGACGTCATCCTTGCAGCCCTTCTTCGAGCTTATGCAGATGTTCTTGCGCCGTCATTGGCCTTACTGTTCAACAAATCCATGAGGGAGGGATATTTCCCAGCTCCTATGAAGGTGGCCAGCATTTAGCCTCTGTTTAAAGGTGGTGATCCCAGCATAGCGAAGAATCACAGACCCGTTTCTCTAATGTCGATAGTTTCAAAGCTTTTGGAACGAGTCATCCATGATCAGCTCACTCAGTACTTGTGCCGACATGATCTATTTCCACCAACTCAGTTAGGCTATCGTTCACATCATTCCACATGTGATGCCCTTGTATTAGCCGTTGAGGGCATATGCCAAGCCCAGACAATAAAGTACTTCACGGGGATTGCTTTCGTAGATATGTCAAAAGCATTTGATAAGGTGAAGCACCAAACCCTTATTCAGGACCTATTCGATGTCGGAATTGGTGGAACGGTGCTGCAATGGCTTGCAGACTACCTCTCAGATCGGACACAGTATGTCAAAGTCGGTCAGGTACAGAGCTCACCATACACCAGCTTCTCCGGAGTACCACAGGGGTCAGTTCTCGGGCCCCTGTAGTTTGTTCTCTACGTCCATGACATTGCGAAAGAGCTGTCCCCTTACAACGTTGCGACCCTGCAATTTGCGGACGATATCTCAATTTAGATCCAGCAGCATGAGCATGGATGAGGTGTCCCAAAATCGCTCAAGTGCTGTCCAGCACTTCGCCGATTGGCTTAGGAACCGCGGTCTCATCTTGAATGAAACGAAGACACAGATCATGTCGATATCGCCAGTACGA